TCTCTGTTGTCTCTCTTGATTCTCACGCCATTTGCAATTGCTGTCGAGGGACCACAGATGTGGGCAGTTGGATGGCAAAATGCTCTTGCACAAATTAGACCCCAATTTATTTGGTAACCGTATGACAACTACCAACTATGATTGCTTTGTACCCATTGTTTGTATTCTACTTTGTATTTTTTGTAATTTCCATTGTGGTGCTTATTTATTCATACACAAGGTAAAAAATTCTTGTCTTGCAGGATGTAGCTATGTTACATGACCTATTTTGTCCAACCTTTTGAAGATGATTACAGAAATGGCTATAAAATATTAATCCTATCTTGTAATTCTAATTGTTATCAGGCCATTTGCGACAGTAACTTGCACTTAGTTTATTTGATTGAAGAGGCTATCTGATTTCTAATGTACTGAATCATTTTTTTGTTCCATTTAAAATCCTATAGAAGAAATTTCATAATTAAAATTATTATTGCTTGCTTTTAACTAAAGAACAGTGGGAGGATTGAAGAAAGGCATCTCTACACCTCTTGGGAATTAACTTGTAGGGTTTCAAATCTACGTTTTTGCTATTTTGGAGATGAGTATACTTACCATGAAAATTTACCTTATCTCTATCTTTAATACAAAGTTTGAAAATATTTTTGATTTAAAGGATGTAACACATTTTATCATGATATATGTATAAGAAGAAAATTTATAAATTTATTGAGGTCAAAGGTTGAGTTTAAATAAATATATGATTTCATTTGTATAATGAAGCATTAATTTTTATGAGAATTTATTTAAGTTGAATCTCTCAAAGTTTATGATGATGATGATTAAATGACAATGAAACGTCATGCGAGAGTATTTGTTTTTATTGATCATATAACCAAATATAGCTTCCTTTGGGGCATAAGGGCCGAAATGCTTTGGAGTCTTGGAAATGTTTTAAGGACCATAAGCGTCGTTGTACATAAGGTGTCTTGGGGACCGAAACATTGAAATGAGAATTGAAGTGCTACGATGACATGAGTTATGTTCCTATGGTTATGTTTTGGGTAACAGTACTGTAACCACCTAAGTCAAGAGGTAACGCGACCAACCCTAAGGCTATGTAGTGATTCATATGATGGACATGAAATCTTAATGTTTTGAAAAGTTATATTTTTGTTTCCCTTTCTTATTTAAATGTATTTTTCCTGCATTATGAGATTTTTTGAAAAAATCTTGATAATGATTCATGCAATTTTTTTCAATTTGTATAAATTTCAGTCCAATTAAACTTTTGTGTTTATTATCTTTATTTTGAACCCAATTGGAAGGAGCAAGTTTTGTAACTCCATGAGATTGGTATACTCATTGGGCTCTAGCTTATTCTTTTTAAATTAATTTTTTTCAAATTCCTAGCCTTTTGTGTGAAGATTAGAGTTTCTGAGGATCAAATGTGGGCATTTTGTAGTTAAGGTTTTTGCTTAGGGTCACTCTAGGATGTAATTTTATCCTTTGTTTTTATGAAGGAGGTTGATTGTAAATATTTGCTTTATGTAGTTATATGTATTGATGGATTCATGAATAGTACGTTTTATTTTTGGGATAGTGATCTTAGTAGCATGATGATATTTTTGTCTTTAAATAGATCATCTAATAGATGTTGGCCAATCGAAAGATCTTATGCACTATTGATGATGTGATACAAGAATTATATATGTGATTATTGTATACAGGTGCTTTAGCGTTGAGATACGCCCTCTTGACGGAGTTTGCCTTACCAAGATTGGATCGTGACATACATGTCCCTAGACGAGTTATCTCCCTTGACATTTAGCATCGAAAGCACCATGAAACGTATATCTGTCATTGTCTCCTCTATCATCATCTTCGACACTCCTGTCCAACCATCAATGCTCTTGGAGCAGCCATCGCAATCCTTAGTATTCCCCGGTAATTGGTCCTTCTTTCTATGAATTGAGTTTTGACGTCGATCATTGATAGCTGTACATCTGAAAGTTGCCTGCTTGTCTCCAAATGACCCTTCCTTTTTTGAAAATTAAGTGAAAATGAAATTATCCCGTTAAGACTTATCTTTGTTTGAGTGGCTAACAAGATGGATAGACAAAATTGTATTAAAGTTCTTGTCCCTTGTTTGTATGTTAATGAATAAATAGAAAGATTGAGGTAGTGTTTTGGTCTAGTTTTTAAATTAATATTTGAATCAAAAAAATCAAAAAAAAAATGTTTGGTTAACAAATTTTCAAACTAATTTGAAAATTGTTTTTTTTTTTCCCTCTCATCTCTCCTCCTTTTTTTCTATTTATTTATTAATAAATCAATCAATTACTTTTTCTCTCATTCTCTTACATTCTACACATTAATCAATTAAATTTTCTCTCACACCCATCTATTCGATTACAAAAAAAAATAAATACAAATCATCCCAAAATTATTTTCAAAACTCATAACCAAACAAATTTTCAATTTTTAATTTTCAAAACTCTTTTAAAATATAACTCAAAACTCTTTTCAAAAATTAAATCAAACGGAGCCATCTTCCTCCTTACAGTAAGGAGGGAAATAACATCAACCAAATCGGGCCTTTATTTTAGGGCTCCTAGACTACTACTAAACAAGACTATCCAAAAGTACATTTGATTCCTTAAAGTAATTTTGCATTCTTTTCTACTAACAGTAGCAGTCACTAAACCCTTTTGCATACTTCCAACATTTTCCAACAACAATTCTTTGCACTATGTAAAGAAAGATGTTCTTCCGATTACGTCGCAAAATACTCCCAATTAAAAACATTCTCATCCTTCCAATTACGTTGCAAAATACTCCCAATAAAAAACATACTCGAGAGATCACTACAAACGAGGGAGGCCCCCATAAATTAGTCCCTTTAATTCATTTCCTTTTTAAATGAAGAAGTAAAAGAATGGGCAGAAAATAATATTTTGTTTGTAAGTCAAAATTTTGTAAAATACGAATTATGTCAAAATTGTTGTTTCTTTACTTATAGTGAAGACGACAACATTAAATTAGGGATACACCAAAATAATATACACGACTTATATACTGACAATTGCTGGTGGCAGCAATTTGACATGGTTGTTTGCTGTTTGTGCTAAAGGCATTTTGTAGTCGGCAACACTACTATTTCACTGCTTAATCTTCAGAACTAGTACTACACCAAATTTGTAATAGTATTATTACAGTTTCAATGGCAATAGTGCCAGTTACCAGATTTTAGAAGCTTGGGTCTTGGCATGTGGTAGTATGCCTGAAAGATCACAAGGACAAAGAGAATTTTTGTAACAATAATATACCTGATTGGTATAGTTTTACTTAAGTTGAAAGTTGGTAATCACATAGAAGTGAAAAGCAATCACTTCTCAGTTTTTAGATTGTCAGTTTTTTTCCAACTTGCTTAAGTTGTTTCTTCTTGAAGCTATAAGCAGAAAACTATACTAAACATAGACTCCCAGAATGGAAAAAGGTATAAGCAGCTCCAAACAGTTTTGTAAATGTATACCTCATGTAGAGAGTATTATTAGACCAAACTATGGCATTAATCACAGTTGTGCCAATTACCAGGAATTTGGACCCTTCCACATCCATATGGGCCAGATCCCACTATTTTGTCTGATAAATTTTTTTTTTTTTGGGATTGGCACTAGGATGTCCGGATCAAAATCCGACTAATCCCTAGGAGTGTACACACTATTTTGTCTAATAATTGATCTCAACTGTTATATGATTCTTTAATTGTGACATTCATGGACTACATACCTCGTTACTTTCGTAAATTTTTTGTTGTTTCCCTTGCTTGCCATCCAAAATATTTTGTGTAGCTTACTGCAAATATACTAAAAATTAAACTTACTTATGTACCATGTTATTTTTTTTTTATAGGCAAAGCAGTAAAAAAGCTGGGATGTGGATTTTACTACGAATGCCTTGTAATTTATATAAATGATTAGAGAAATAGTTTGTTATGCGTTTTTTTGTGATCCAATACTACTGTGTGTTGAAATGCATCCCACATCGCTTGAAGTTGACCCATCTGTGCTAGTCATAAGGCTCTAATTTCCCTCTTCTTAATATCTGAATTTCAAGGAAAAGTGTGGGTTAAGCTTTTCAACTTGGTATTAAAGCTTGGTTGAGCCTGTCACTGGTAGACTATTTGTCCAGCTAGTGTGTTTTGTGGTCCAAGAGAGTGTGTGTGTATGTATCCCACATCGCTCTAGTTTCCCTCCTCTCTATATCGCGTGGGCTGGGCTTTTCAACTCTTTGGATCAGGATCTTTTCTGTTTGCAGGTACAATATTCATGAGCTGGAGATAACTTTATACAGGAGATTAGGGTTTTGTTTTTATTTTTTTTGTTTTATTTTCCTTCCGCCAGTCTTTCTCCTTGAAAAGTGGAGAAGAGCGTTCTTAAAATAATCAAGAACAATTTGTCTGTGTTTTAGGCAAAGCAACATGAAATTCACTTGTTTTGTACGTGATGAATGAATGGAGGGAGTTGTTTGGCACGCTGGGCCACCAATGTTAACAAATCTGTCTGTATGATATGCAAATTTTGAATGTTTTAATTTTAAAACAAGGAACTTAAAAAAAGAATGTCGTCAAGACTTTTATTACAATATATGCATCATAAGTATTAGAGTAATTTTAATAAACATTTAACTCTTAAATGTGATTTATCCATAAAAAAACTCTGAAAAGAAACCAGTTGTAGTGAGTTCTTCCTTGGACAACTGGACACATGTTCAAGAATGTTCAGCTTCAAGAATAATCTTGTACCTACTCCCTTACAAGATTGAAGTAGATTATCACTTGAGGATAGACTATTTTAATAATTTTTTAACTTTACCAAAAAATATATAAAAAAATAAAAAGAGTGACGTAATAACTTATAATGATTTTTTGATTAAAATTGAAAGTTATCACATCCAAATTCAATAGAACAAAATTTCTTTTCCTTCCTACAAAAAAACAGATCCTTTGGAAAAACTGAAAACTCATTTCCTGAGGAGGATTAAACCCTTCTGGGTCCTATGACATATATCTTACAAGCACCATTATCATTAAGTGGTGTTTTGAGAAGTTAGTAAAAAGTTAATGTTTTTGGTTTTTTTAGTCTATTTTGTCTTTTCGTAGGTAAAAAATGTGAGAGATGATGTGACCTAAAATGGGTAAAAAGCCAAAAGCTGGCTTTTTACCTCATTGCCAAAGCACCCCTAAATCTGCAAATATTCAATGGCAGTCTGAACATCCTTATCTCCTCTGCCACTGCAGTTAAGCACAACCTTAGTTCCATTTGGCAGGGTGGGACACAGCTTCTCCAGATATGCAACTGCATGAGATGTCTCCAGAGATGGAATTATGCCCTCTAGTCTAGATAATCTCTTAAACCCTACATGCAAAAAAACACACCCAAATAAGTAAATAAATAACACTTATGGAAACAAGGGTTGAACAGAAAAATCGCAAATAACTGAAAATGATGATCGAGAAAAAAAATTATTGCCAAATTATCTTAACAAAGTAGTTGTGGAATCAGTTGAAAACGGGTAGAAGAGTCACATTTCTTTTATCACGTAGCAGATTTTGTAAATTCTAATGGCAGAAGAATAACAGAAATACCAGCAGCTGGCCTAGCATATCCCCAAGTTCTTCGAATTTTAGCTAGGAATTACCGCACCTTCCCGCAAGGTTCAAATATTCAAATAAGTCAAAATGGTGTAGACACGAGTTCATGGAATAGTATAGTGGGCATACATTCTGGGAATTTTAGGAAGTAAATAAATGGGGAACAGGCAACAAGATTGAGCTGGAATTTCCATATGTCCAGTTTAAAAACCTACTGATCAATTAATAAGAATTTACAAGGTCTGGGAGACATCAAATTGTCGAGCTATTTCTTCAGATTCCCATAAAATTATGAATCAAAAACGAAAAATCACCATAGAAGATGACCCTAAGAGATGTTATAGCAACACAAAATTCGAAGGATATTTATATATCTCATTACTACATAGAATCTATCAAAGTTGGCATTTCATAAAATTAAACATGACAAGCAGTAGAGACTCATCATTTCAACATCAGCATGAAACTGAGATCAAATTTTTCTGAAAGTAACAAGCTACTGAACCACGGGGTTGTAGAAAAGTGGCTAACATTTTGACCACCAAGTCTCTCCTAAGGAGAGATGGAGAACTATCGGGTTCTATTCTTGGAAATGGAATGGGGGCAAGAATTGAGTGCTTGCAAGGAGAGGGTTGGGGGTTCAACTCCCCACAAGTGCTAAACATCTAATCTCTCCCTCTCTCTCTCTCTCTCCCACACACACACACACTTAAAAGGGAAAGGAAAAAAAACCAGAATGGCTACTTAGATAGAGATAGTAAAAAAGGATGTAAGGCTTTGCTGTGAGAATAAAATCAACAACATAACTACTCATACACACATGAACACTAATCACAGTCAAACAGAGGTTGATTATATAGAACTGGAAAAAGATCATGAAAATGTAAATGCAATTTCCATACCTTCCAATGCCTCTTCATTTGTGATGCTATAGTATTCAGCACGTCCTAAATCTTTCAGAGGGGTGTGTTCTGGTCCAACATCAGGGTAATCCAGTCTATTTGACATAAAATGATGAAAACTAATTTCGTTAGCAAAATACAGCAAAAACACCATCACTAGTCAAAATGATAAGAGATCAATAAGATATCTTTACCTTGCACTAATGGAATGGGGTTCAACTATTTGCCCATCTTCATCCTGCAATAAATAGCTCATAGCTCCATGCAGCACGCCAAACTCTCCTTTAGTCAAGGTAGCAGCATGCTTACCACTATCCAATCCAAAACCTGCAGCTTCCACACCAATCAGCCTAACTTCTTCATCACCAGCAAATTCACGGAAGAGTCCCATGGCATTCGAACCTCCACCAACACATGCAACAAGAACGTCTGGTTTCCCACCCCATTTTTCCAATGCCTGTTTCTTTGTCTCTTTACCAATCACTGCATGAAACTCTCGAACCATCATGGGGTATGGATGTGGCCCAGCAACAGATCCCAATATGTAATGGGTTGATTCCACATTAGTCACCCAATCCCGTATAGCTTCTGATGTAGCATCCTTCAGCGTGGCTGTCCCGGAATGAACTGGTCTAACCTATAGTAATAAAATGGAATCTATTCAAAAGATGTAATAGGCATAAAAGCAACTGTAATATGGATCACACAAGGAGACTGATTCAAACAAATAATTGACCTGATAGAGTGTGTACTTGACAATGGGTGAACTAAACAACTAGTTTGGCAGAATTGACAATGACATTTAAATAAAACAAAGGTAATTTAGCAAATGAAAACAGGAAATCTCACACAACAGTAAATAAGGGAAGGAAAGTTCAACAAAATTCAGGTCATACTTAATGCTATAGTTAACAATAACATGACTATCACAATGATAAAAGAAAAATGTTTAAACCACAAAAAAAAAAAAAAAAAAAAAAAAAAAAAAAAAAGCTAAGGAAAAGCAAATTAAAAATGTGAAATAAAATATCATAGGGACAGAAATGCTACAGGGCCTTCAACATTGTAATTGAAGATGGAGACAATTTTGCAATGAAGACCACCATTACACAATAGCAATAGAAATAGAAAATAAATAAAAAGTCCAATGAAAGCCATTTCTGTCTTCATCTTTGTTACTCGTAACTTTATTTATGGACGCAAAATGACTATTGAGTGTATATTGAGTAGACAATTATGCATCAATCTAATGAAAATAAACAATGGTTAAATAACTTAAAATCATTCAAAGCAACTACAAGATATAGGTGTGACAAGCATACCTCAGCTCCAAGAAGCCGCATTCTAAACACATTTAAAGGCTGCCTTTCCATATCTTGAGCACCCATATAAATAACACACTCTAAGCCAAACCGAGCACATACAGTAGCAGTGGCAACTCCATGCTGACCAGCCCCAGTTTCAGCAATAATGCGGTTCTTCCCCAGGCGCTTGGCTAGCAAAGCTTGAGCCACAGCATTGTTGATTTTGTGGGCACCAGTATGATTAAGATCTTCCCTCTTGAGGTAAATGTGTGGCCCTTCGCCACTGGGACGTTTATAGTGCTCGGTAAGCCGTTCTGCAAAATACAGAGGGCTCTCTCTACCAACATACTCTTTCAGCACCCCATCCAGCTCTTCCTGAAATGAAAATTTGTTAAAGAATAAATTAATAACATCGCAAAAGTGACCGCAATTGAGAAGAACCAAAATGCTAGTACCATATAAATCTCAAATAGAACAATTCTTTATCATCCCATTTAACAATATTCTTGAAATTCTTGTAGAAAACTCAAAATTCATTGTGTTTCCACTGCTCTACAAAATAATTTTTCAATTGCCAGTGGTTCTAAGAGGAGAGCTTATTGAGTGTACAAGTAACGCCCCCTACACAATCACATTAAAAACCCCGATAGTAAAATCCACTCCAATCAATCAATATTTCATACCCTCCTTTTCCACAACTATCTTTTGAATTAGTCTAGCACAACTATTTGAACAAAACAATTAGACAGTTTTGGTCTATTAACCCTAAATTTTATCAACAACCAAAACAAAAACCCTAAAATTTAATAAATGCTACAACTGCAATGAAACAGTGAATCAGTCCTCTAAATTACCGGGAAAAAAAAAAGAATCAAAAAATGTTAAACAATCAATTCATTGAAAGAGTTTGATCAAAAGAAACCTGGTAGTCTTGGTCTCCGGCGATAGAATGGAACGCAGATTCGAGCTCGGTGAGAGCGTCCTTGTGGGTTTTAGGTACATACTTCCCATCAAACTTGCCGAATCCCCCGACCGAGTCAGGTATCTGGAGAACCCGCTGTCGGGGGCGAACCAAACTCTGGCCTTGGAGCTTCATTGGGCGAGTCGGAAAGTCAGTACAGGAGGAGATGGAAGAAGGGCTAGGGGAGGGAGAGAAATTGGGGAAGTTGAGGGGATTGAAGAAGGAAGGGTAGGGTAGTGCGGTCATGAGTGAGAGAGAGAGAGAGAGGTGGGTTTCGACTTCTGGGGGTATCGCGGCGGACGTCGTTTTGAAGTGCTACAGTAAGGCCGACAGAGAAGGTGACCGACGATCTGGACTCGTGTTACGTGGCTACCTGGCTATAGTGGTGTTGTTGTCGGATCGGAGGCAACAAATTTTTATTTTTATTTACTAAACGGAAAAAAAAAAATGAAAACTTGAAAATAAATTTATTACCAAAAAAAGAAATAAAAGAAATAATAATACTAATAAATAGCACGACCATAAAACATCTGGTCGGATCTAATATGTTCATGGATTATTATGGAGAAATTATTGGTTGGTGTTTGCACACCGTCTCTCTTAATTGTGTTGTGATTAGCGAAAAGATTGAGATTTATAAATTTATGTTGGATAATTAGAAAATATAAAATAATTTTATATATATTAATTAATATATTAATAGATGATATGACATAATTTTAAAAGTATTGGATATTTATAATTTACATAATAGGTGATGTTAATAATAATGACATAATACTAGTTGGTACACTAATTAGTACATGTAACACTATTGGAAAATATAAGGTGGTATAGTAAATGAATAATATTATATGCATTAATTGGTATATTAATTAGTGTACTAACCGATGATGTGGTATAATTTTAGAAATTTGGAGTATTTGTAATTTGCGTAACGAGTGGAGCCAATAATAATGTCATAACATATTAGTACACTAATTGATACACTAATTGATATATATGTAGCACCATCGATTGTAAATTGTGATTAGTGAAAAGTATGACCACGTAACATTCTTGAATCAATCAATAATTTTTCATTATTGTATTTGACAAATGGATTTAGTCACCATCAATCAATACTACAAATAGACATTGGGTGTGGTTTAATGGTCTAGTAGTTACACTTTAGAATGTAATGAGTGAGAGGTAAGAGTTTAAGCCTCTTCAATTATAATTTAACTATACTAACATACTAATACTATCTCAGTGGAAAAAAAAAAAAAATCAATACTATAAATCCCATCTTAAAGAAAAATCAATACTTGGTTTAAAAAAAAAATTTCCCTTTATCTCAAAATAATACTTTCTCCATCTCAAAATAATAATCTTTTTTTGGAGAATTTAATTTTTTTTAGTAGTACAATACACTTTAAAAAAATTACTCTCTCTGTCCAAAAATATTAGTCCCTTATTCTACTTTTCATTATCACAAAAAATTAGTCCCCTTTCAAAAATTAAAGACTAAAATAATATGAATTTCCTATTTTGCATTTCTTTTAAATTCATTAATAACACAAAAAATACAATTATGACAAGTGATATTTCAAAAAAAAAAAGTACTATCAAAGGGTAATTTTGAAAAATTAATATTTTTAAAGTGTAATAATTGTACTACCAAAAAAAGTTAGATTCCTAAAAAAGACTATTATTTTGGAATGGAGGGAATAATTTTTTAAAATTACTTTTTGATAGTACATTTTTTAGAGAATATCAATTGTCTTATTTGTATTTTTTGTATTATTAGTGAATTTAAAAAAAAGGCAAAATAGGAAATTAATATTATTTTAGTCCTTGATTTTTGAAAATGAGTTAATATTTTGGAATAATGAAAAATAGAATAAGTGATTAATATTTTGGGACGAAGGGATTAGTCCCTTTCGGAGAATCTATTTTTTTTTTTTTGTAGTACAATTATTATACTTAAAAAAAAATCAATTGTCATAATTGTAATTTTTGTATTGTTAATGAATTTAAAAGAATGGCAAAATAGAAAATTAATATTATTTTAGTCCTTAATTTTGAAAAATAACTAATATTTTGGAATAATAAAAAATGAAATAAGTGGCTTATATTTTGGGACGTAGGGAGTAGTCCCTTTTGGGGAATCTAACTTTTTTGGTAATATAATTATTGCATTTTAAAAAAATTAATTTTTTAAAATTACCCTTTAATAATATATTTTTTGGAGAATATCAATTATCATAATTGTATTTTTTGTATTGCTAATGAATTTTTTTAAATAAAGAACAAAATAAGAACTTAATATTATTTTAGTTATTAATTTTTAAAAATAAATTAAGATTTTGAGATAATAAAAAATAAAATAAGTAACTAATATTTTAAAATTGAGAGAGTATACAAAATTTTGATCATGGAGTGTTTTGGGAAGATGGTAAAAAGTGATTTTTTGGCTTTTAACCAAACTTTTAGTTTTTTTAGACAAGTGATTTGGAAAGTTAGTAAAAAGTTACTTTTGACTTTTTTGACTAATATTTGTTTATGATGTCAAATTACAATAAAATGACCAAATTACCTCCATTCAATTTAAAATATTTACAACTTCACCTATGTAGCACATTTTGACCTATAAGAAATAGAATTAAAATTTCACCAATAGCTGAAAATCAACTTTCTAAATGTTTTTAAATATAAAAAAAATTAAATTTTAACTTTTACTACAAACGCACAAACGTGACTGAAAGTCAAATACTAAAAAAAGGCTTATACAATGAAGATTCATTTAAATCATGACTTTACAATAACTTGTCTGCAATTTACGATGTTTAGTAAAAATAGTGAGTTATCCGATTTTATAGAATTTTTTTTGCCTTAAGTTCAAAATTTTATTACGTGGCATAACATTAAATTGAGATGTCACATGATTGAACGGTTAAGATTTGACTTCTTCATTAAAAATAAAAATAAAAAAAATAGATAGATTATGAGACCTAAGTTGATACACTGAGTTATAAACTTGTTGTCAAAAGAGGTCCAGGACTCTTGATGATCTAATTAAGCCCTCGTTTGATTTTTTTTATTGGAATTAAAAAATTATAAAAAGATAAAATAGATTATATAAATTAATAAGATAAAATATTATTTTTTATCTATAATCATTATATTTTTTTCTCATAAAAATCAAAAAATATCTCAAAACAAAAACCAAATGAGATTTAAAAAGTCAAGTTAAAAAAAGTTACAATACAAAAAAATTAACTATATTAGTCCATGACAAACGACTCTTGAGAGAAAGAAGCCACGAGTTGGCATATGTGGGGAAGTGGGGTTGATAGCTTTTTTGATTAATAAACTAGGCTTATTTTGATAATGTAGTCAAAAGTTATGATTCTGTTTGGTGTAACTGTTAAAATAAATTATAAATTATAATTTAATAGATAATAGATTATGATTTTAATTAGAAATTGTTAATTTATTTAGTATAACTGTTAGATTATAGATTTAAGTTGTTGAATAGTGTTTGTTAAATAAACTGTGAAGTAACTTTTTCAATTAATTTTTATTTTTTATTATTCACTATTTGTTTACATTTCTCATAAATAATAATAATAATATTTTATAGTCTATTTTTGTCTTTTTCTATTTTTAAAAAAATAAAAAATAAAAAGTCTGAAAGTATAACTGTGAATTAACATGTCCACAACAGAGGCTGATAATCAGAAGCAAAAGGGGAGCAGCTTCTCAGAATCAGCTTTTTTGACTTAAAACAAGTTGTTAGAATCAGGAACTGTTTGAAATAAGTTTAACCAAACAGTCTAAAATAACTTTTTAAAAGTCATAACTTTTCAATTAACTTTTTAAGTTGGCTCAAAAAAATCTCACCAAACACTCCTTATATTTGGGCTTTTTTTTAAAAAAAAATCAGAAGTTAATTTTTTTTTGTGATTGTTGCCATTTGGGAAGTTGGCTATGAGTCATATGGTAAATTACGAATATATCATCCATTCACTTTAAGATTTGTTGGGACAACAAACATTTCACCATTTTGTATGGGGAGGGAATATTTTGATCATTTTACATCACGGTATGGTAATGTGATAATATTAAAAAATATTAATTAAAAAAGTTAAAAAAGTATTTTTTTGCCAACTTCTTAAATGATTTTATAAAAAAAAGTCAAAAAACTTAAGTTAAAAGTCAAAAAGTCACTTTTTATCATTTTTTCAAAAGAAGCCATAAATAGTAGTGATTCATCTCTTAAAATTATAGCTTTAATTTAGTTTTAGGGATGTAAAAAATTAAAAAAATACACGGTTAAAACATCACATCAGATGGGATCCACACACACATTAGAACTATTAGGGTTATTTTTCTAGAGCTCCCAAACATTTTCCAAAAATAAAATAGTTAATAAGATAAAATGTGATATTTAAATCATAATTATTTTATTTTTTCTTTTATAATCATCAAATTAATTATAAAAAAAAAGTCAATTATCATTTTAAACACCACTCCGTTTGTTTTCACAAGTAGAATAGAGGGGATTGATAGTGAAATGATTAGTAAAATTGTGTTTATTTTGATGATAATTATTAGTGTAGGGATTGTTAAATTAAATAAATATAAAATAATAAAACAAATTAAATTATGATCTTTACTTAACAAAAAAAAATTAAACATTAATATTAAAAAAAAATACATAACATATAAAAAAATAATAATAATAAAAAAAAATTACAGATGATCAGTTGACCGGCCGGATGTAACGCCCCAACCCTTTATACGTCATCGATATTGTCCGCTTTGGGCCATGCCCGCACTGACTTGTTCTTCTCAGTGGGTCACCTATTCCAGAACTACTCCAACCTAAGCACATTTAATTAGGGAGTTCTAATAAGCATTTTAGGAAAAGGCCTCGATGCTATATAAGGGTCCAGATTTTTACTTTTATAGCTTAGGAACTCCCCCTCTATTCTCGATATGGGACACCGGAACCTTACACCGAAAGTCCGAGTGGACGACTGGTAACACCCTAAGCCGAGCGAATTATTGTCTAATAGCACCTCCTCGCTTAGACTAACAATATCCTCGCCAAGGTCTATCGTAGTCTGAAAAGGATTACGAATCCGAAGTTCCAAAACCAAAACAAATATGAGGCATCTTCTTTGTATATCTAAACTAACGGGTAACATACGTGGTTCGTGTGCAATTCAGATAATTAATAATAAAAACAAATAATAAAGAATTTAATATTATAATACGAGCTCGTTTGAGATGTGAGTTGATTTTTTGACTTTTTAATTCTAAGGTTAAAAAGTTTTGTTTGGGATAGACTTTTTGGTTTTTTTAACTTTTGTGAGAGAAAAAATAAAATGATTAT